CACACAGACAGACTGACAGACTGACACAGAGACAGACTGACAGACTGATAGGATGGCACACTCACAGACTGACAGACAGACAAACTCTCTAGTACACAGACAGACTGACAGACTGGCACACAGCAGATTGACATACAGACTGACAGACTTTCTGACACACAGATAGACTGAAATATGAAGTGCTGTCAACCCACAAACGTACATGAATGCCCATCAGTCCACCACCGCCCCCCCAACTACTCACCACGCTGACGTTGAAGGCATAGAGCAGGTCAAAGGGCAGGGCGGCGATCAGGTCCACGAACAGCCAGGTGGTGGTGTAGTGCACACAGATGGACCGAGCGTCGTACACCACCTGGCCCGACTTACTCACATACGTGGTGCGGAAATTAAGCACAATGTCTGCAACATAGGAAGGACATCTCGGTCACCATCAGTCAACCTAAAGCCAGAGCACCATGTCGGGCAGGTGCTGCCCGCAGAGACGGCACATCTGGGCCAAACAAGGGCTGATGGACACTGCCCACTCGATGGGACAGGGTATCTATCTACTTGCATGGGAAAAGATCGTCTCAGGCAAACACGTCATTTGCAAGTGTTCCTGGTGTGAAGAGGCCTCTGCAAAGACTGAGTCAGAGTCGTTCAGATATGACTAGGTGACAGAGACAGCACACCTCTCTGCCCCCGAAGGGAGTGACTCAGACCACCTTCCGTGCAAAGGGACTGGATCTTCACTGTCTAAACTGGGTCTCGGGCCGGGCCAGGCCGTGCTCTGCCTGTGCGTCTTACCCAGCATGAAGAGGATCTCCACCAGGATGTCACTGACGCTGGGGGGGCTGCGGGAGGCGGAGCTCCCTTCGTCCCGCCCACCGGCCACCGTGAAGCACACGTTATAGGGCACGGTGACTGCCACGTAGAAGGTCGCCAGCAGAATCAGCCAATCCCAGCCGGCCTTGAACGTTCCGTAATGCAGGAGGATGAAGCGAGACTTCTGAATGGCTGCCACCTTGTACTCAGGGATGGGTGGCTTCTCCCCGAACACATTCTGGGTAAATCGAGAGGAACACATACGCACACAGACACACACGCACACACAGAGGTTAGAAAGCTAGCAGCAAGGCAGCGAGAATCATATGTGATCTTCTAATTGTTTCCAGGATCCTTGGTAACAGAAAACCCTCAGTTACTCAAGGGAAATAATTAAGAATTGAGTATATATAAAGTGCTGGTCGGTTACAATCCGTACAGTGGAATGGTTTGGAAAACCAGATGTCTGCCTGCACCTGTCCTGCGATTCTGAGATTCCAGCTGCAGGTGGTCAGTAACGACAAAAAGAATCTGAGCATGTGAGGACATGCTTGACTTGTGTCACTGCTCAAATCCTGCAGTTGAATCCTAAACTCTATATTGAATAGCCCTCTCCTTGCTCTGCTGAGGGTTTGGCACAGTTACACAGAGTTAAGTTCAATGCTGTTGTTACAATTGCATTTCGGAGACCGATGGAGAGACAGCTGTGTTTTGGGACTGGTGTGCAATGGAGTCGGAATGCGTCCCAAGAGGTTGGAGCAGCCCTGCATGTGGGGTGACACCACAACTGAGGGGGCACTGCAAGCCCCAAGTCCCCCGCTTGGGGAAAGCCAAGCTGTTCTGTTTGGACTCATCGGGGGCCCCTTGTGGTGTGTGTGCTGTGCTTTGGGTGGCACTTGGGTCTGCAATCTTACACTGAAGTCATCCTGAGTCATGTCGCCCCAGTCCACCGTCATAGCTGATTCTAGAGAGTGAACTGTGATACCCCGGCCTGCTCACTGGAGAGCTCAGCACGAGCTACTGCCACCGTTGTGCTCACATTTCTTATCAGGCCTTAGGCAAGTTGCTGGGCAATTGCTGCTTGAAATTTGTGTTTGCAATGCTGACTCCTAGGCCAATTGCCAGGTGTAGCTTTGCGAGCAGGACTGCCTGCAGCACTGCTGAGAGAGATTGAGCAAGAGGCTCCTGATCTTCCTGCTTTTACAAACTGCAGTTATCATTCAATGTCACCCTCCTTGCTTTTGCCTGGATCACCAAAGGGCTCACAGATAAAGCTCAGGAACTCTTTTCTCATTTTAAAACAATTTTAAATTCCCATTAAGTGTAATCTGTAAGAAATCGACAAGTGCAGATTTGAAACTGCTGATAGCAAGTGCTGCTAGTGATAATTTGAGTTGTTTGGCTGCCCTAATGTGACCTTCACTTGCCTGTATCAACATCTCTCGCCAGCCTCAGGCCTTTGAAACACAAAGACGAAGAAATAGGTAGTCTAAGGCAGATTTTAAGTGGATGGACAAGCAGGATGCATCTGATAAGCAAATCTAGCTGCTGTGAGAGTGAGAGAGTATGGAAACACCTGCTGTCGTGGATATGTCTGAGGGTGAACAGACACTCCGAGTGCAGGGGTGTGTGAGGATGAACAGACACACCGGGTACCTGGGAGTGTGAGGGCAAACAGACACACAAGGTGCCTGGGAGTGTGAGGGTGAACAGACACACTGGGTGCCAGGAAGTGTGAGGGTGAACAGACACACTGGGTGCCAGGAAGTGTGAGGGTGAACAGACACACCGGGTGCCTGGGAGTGCAAGGGTGAACAGATACTCCAGGTGCCAGGGAGTGTGAGGGTGAACAACACTCCAGGTGCCGGGGAGTGTGAAGGTGAACAGACACACCAGTGCAGGGAAGTGTGACGGTGAACAGACACACCGGGTGCCGGGGAGTACGAGGGTGCACAGACACTCCAGGTGCCGGGGAATTTGAGGGTAAACAGACACACCGGGTGTCGAGTGCGAGGCTGCTCACATTGTTGAGCTTGAGCTTGCTCTTGTCCTGTTTCTGCAGGTGTCCGGACAGATGGTACAGCACGGCGCGGCTCCGGCGGCGGTTGGCATTGAACGCCGGGGGCCGCGTGACGCGGTGGACCTCCAGCCCTGTCTCTTCATCTGGGGGCCAGAAGGAAGCACAGGTCAGAGGCTAAACTGTAGAATCGCCGTAGAATCACAGCCGGCAGGGAAGCACACTGAATCTAATTACACCAAGGCAGGAAGGGAGAACACACAGAAGCACTGAGAAAGCAAGGCCACTCCGTGGTACGAGCACAGGAAAATGGGTGCAAAATGGACTTTCGGGTGGGGTGAATTACAACAGGTGATCTTAACTGACCTGTAGCTCAGTACTAAATATAAAGATGTCTCTAGAGCCCACAGCTGCCTAACCCTCATCCCCCCCCCCTCTGTTCCCAATGTTCCAGGTGCTCCTCAATAATCTAGTTGATTTGCAGCACCAGGACATATTGAATTACTGGTTGAAGCAATGTACTGGGCTGGTCTCCCACCCCCTTACTGCACAACAGTGTTTTTCTTTCTTCCCCTCTCTCTATTGCTGCCTCCATTTCCCTTTCCTTTCCTCTGCGTCCCTCCATTCTTGACCTTCCCTGTTTTTCTCTGCGCTCCACGGGTGCAGGTGTGTGTGTGTGTGCTGAGCTGCCCCATGTCTCCCTCTAGCTTCAGTATGTTCACCCCTGTTGTTTGTAAGGCATCCAATTAGCTCCGCAATACCGTGTTCCCACGCTGTGAGAGCCAGCAGCCATTGTGTGAGTGGCAGGGACGACAGGCGGCCTCCCAGCTGAGCGATCCTGAGCTAATGCTGCTGTCAACTCACACAGCCCCACTGGGAGTGGAGGAGAGAGGGGGGGGAAGAGAGGAGGGAGAGAAAGATGGGATAACAGAGAGCGAAGTATCGGGTAAGGGTGGGAGACAAACAAGGAGAAACAGACTCTGATTTGAGAAACTGGGAGAGACAGGAAGACTTGGGTGTCTGGAGAGGACAGGCTTCAGTGCCCTCTGATTGGTCATAGACACTGGCGACACAGG